GAGCTCCTGCTGGGAAAGCTGTGAGTTTATCACAGAACCCCAAGGTGCCTGCTCTCCTTGTTCCTAGCCTCGTGGAAAAGGGTCCAGAAAGGGAACCCCAGCTGAGGTTCACCAAAAACACCCTGTGTAAACACTGCAGGGGTCTGGGAGGAGGCTCAGTGTTAGAGCATTTGCCCCGGATGCCCCAGGCTCGGTCCCCATCGCCTCAAAAATAAGTAACAGATAACACACAATGTAATGCCTATGGGGTGTGTGTTAACAGCAGCAGACCCGGCTGACACTCCAGCCAAGTGTGTGTGCCTCAGCAGTTTACATCTTGTGGAGTTTGAATCCAGCCTAGGCTGTGAGATCCCAGCAACCAGCAACGGGGGGGGGGGGCAAACAAGAGGCTGTAGAAACGACTCAGAGGTTAACAGCACATATTGCTCTCCCAAAGGGTGGAGTTCAGTACCCAGCACCCATGTTGGGAGGCTCACAGCCACCTGTAACTCCAGCTTCAGGGGATCCAATGCTCCTTCCTGCACTCAAACATACATTGGAGGGCACGCGCACACGCATGTACATGCGACTTTCAAAAGTGCTCAAATTAAAAAAAAAAGTGAAAAGACAAAAACCTATTCCTTTCTCATGTGATCAAACCTGTTTCCCGGTCCCAAGTCGTGTTTGGCTCTAGGTCCCTTTAGTGGAAAAGCTCTTAGGCAGGCGTGGGGGAGATAGGCCTGATCAGGCATAGGAACTTACACACTTCCGGATGTCTCCAAAGAGTGAGGGGACTAGAGAAGGAAATCCTGTAAGGGACTCTGACACTGACGTCCCAGGATTCTATCGCATGGGCACTGCTGGGGTCCTGTTGTATGGAGAGGCGACCATCGCTTCCAATCAGCACACGGCCGCTCTTAAGGTCACTTGTGGCCTGGCTCAACTCATTCCAGGACAAAAACAGTCCTCATTCAAATTATGTGTATCCCGGTGGTGATGGTAGTGGCTGTGGAGGCACACACTTTTGACCTGCGCTCAGGAGGCAGAGGCAGGAGGATCTCTGTGAGTTTGAGACCAGCCTGGTCTACAGAGTGAGTTCCAGGACAGCCTGGTCTACATAGAGAAGCCCTGTCTTAGAAAACCCAAACAAACCAAAACAGCAGCAACAACAAAAGCTTTTGCTGTCATAGTATAAAGGGCTGTAAATTCCGAGCCAACACATCCAGTTCTGCTCTTGGTGGTCCTCAAGGTTGCTTGCCTGTACCCTCTCCCCACAAGTGTTTGAGAGAGTCATCCTCCTGATGCCTGTTTCCTCCTTCCTTCCTGAATGGAGAACTGGTTATCTATCCCTTCTGAGAGGGGTCAGAAGTTACCATGGGGCATTTTTGTTTGCTTTTGTGTGTTTGCTTGGGACATATGCCCTACAGGAGGCAAGGCAGAGCCGACATATGACACTAATATGCAACAGTACAAGGACCTCTCACAAGGCAGTAGGGAGTGTCAGGGGGAGGGGAAACGGGAGGGAAGGAGAGACAGACACAGAGAGAGGCAGAGACTGAGAGAGATAGAGAATAGGAAATCCTCTCTCAGACCTCAAGTTTAATATAACTTACGAAACTAAAAACAACACAAACTTGGCAGGCTGGAGCCTTCACAAGAAAGCTTGTCCACTCTGAAAAACCCAGTCAACTCCTCTAAGCCAACAAGCCCCACGCAGCCCCACGAAGCTTGTCACGTGTCACCGAAAAGTGTTTGCTATGCTGCCATGCAACTGGCCAGGGTCCAGTCTTACAGCCCCCCGAGGCACTGGGACCCTGAGTTAATCTCTGCTCCTCCAGACTTACCACAGCCTCTTGGATAAAACAGGAGCAGAACAGACAGATGCATGCTCCCCATACCTACTGTCTTCAGCCCTGGAAAAGGAGTGTGTGCAGAGGGGGCCTGTTGCCTCTCCCCAGAGGCTCAGCCATGAGTGTGTCCTAATACAAAGGCCCCACCCCCACCCTGATTTCCAGTATGTTCTTGCTGGACTTGCATCTAACATGTTCAAAGCCTAGGAGCTACAACCCAGGAAAGGGGGCCAGGGTCACCCATGAATGGAAATGGCCCATCGGTCTCCATGAATCCCGTCCTCGCTGACCTGAAAGAAAGAAGCATTCAGCCAGCCACATAAGCTACTTCTAACAGGAGAATGTTATCGTTTGCTATCGGGCTGAAACCAGTGGGTCTTATTTTCACACAAGAAAGTAATGGAAACCCACATGAAGTACTTGTAGATGGCAAATGATGCAACACGGGACACTGCTGAGAATCTGAGAAGAGTTTTAGAAAACAGAAAGACAGAGCTTGAGGAAGAAACCATCGCTAAGAATATAAGCTCGAATGATTTGCTTACAGCAAAGCCCTTGGGGGCCTGTGTTTGAACCTGCTTACTCTCATTTTAGACACACGTTGCAAACTGGGTGTGGTTCTGTCCCACCCCACAGTAAACAAGTACCAAATCGGGTAAGCATCAGAGGAGGCTGTCTGGCCACTGAGAAGTGACAGTTGACAGGCTGAAGATGTAGCCAGATGTGCTGGCCCACGCCCTCAGTCCAACACTCCAGAGGCAGGGGCGTGCGGATCTTGAGGAGTTTGAAGGCAACTTGGCCTACACAGGAGTTCCAGGTCAGTCAGTGCTACATAGTGAGACCCCCGTTTCAAAATAAACAAACAGACTCAAGAGCTCTGTTACAGGTCAGCCCAAGTGCAAACACCACACACAAAATTTATAATGTAAAAGCGATGCTCTTAATACCCAGGTTATTAGCAAACACTGAATTTGCATTGGGTGTTTTTCTAGGACATTTATTATATCTAGGATAGATATACCAAACTTTAGTGTGCATTCTACTAAATCTTACCAAGGGAAAGAAAAAACAGCATTAATCTAGAAGCAGCTGCTGTTTGTGGTGGTATCTTTAGATTCAGAGCTTTAAAATATCAGCCTCTTTTTTAAGTAGCTCTGTATTTACGTGGAGTTTGCACTGAAGTATGTAAGAAATATGATTTTAATGGGCATGGAATCCTGAGAATACCGTGTTTGTAGAGCAAATCCCTTCTTTACACTCCAGAGACTGTTCTCTGTCACTCCACCACTCAGACTCACCCATGAAAAGCTGGCTCTTGAGGTGGGTGTGAACAAGCCTACCTAGAGCTTGCTTAAACCGTCGTGAGAATGATTGTTGGAGGAGGTCCTCCATAACACTGAAGGCTCAATGGATTAAGAAATAAAAAATGTAGTAAGACATGTTGCAGAGAGAAAAATTCTTCTTTCGCTCACCATGTTCATCTGAAATAAAAAGCCCTTTATAGCCTGTTTGCCCAACCCTGTCTTCCCAAGTCCTTCATGGGCAGTCACCTCCCTTGGAGAGGACAAACACTGACCTGCAACAGACAGACAGGACCGGCTAAGGTCCTACTCACCACATGACAGGAGTCACAAACCCTGTGGTCTCGGAAGTCAGCCAGGGCTTTAAATGAAAGCAGTTTCACAGTGAAGCAATCCAGAACCAGTTACATTTTCACAGCTCTGGCTTCTAAGGCCCTGAAAACAGTAACGTGTGGCCGGGTCGTGGGGGGCATTTAGAAATTTCAGTAAGAAGTTGGCTGAGAAATCTATTTCCGAAAAAACTGATGAATACCACCAACTGCATCGCTGAAGACTCACAGTTGTTATGTTGGAAAAAAAAATCACATATGTGATTTTTCAAGTCTGCAGACATAGATACCTTCCTAGTGAATTCTAATGACTCGAAGTAGTAGTCGATTCATTGAAATCAACCAATGACTCAAATAATAGTTTCCAAAGGCCGAGGGCCCAGGCCAGTGGTAGCACTCTGGCCCAGCTTGCCCAGCAGACACAGAAGACCATAGACCACGTTTTTCGGATGTAATGTGGAAAATAATATATTTTCTTTTGGGCCAAAGTAAAAAGAAAAAAATTACTGCATGTTACAAAGTCGTGCAAATGTCAACTGTTTTATCTTCTGACTCACCGACGTCTTCTTTTGGTCATGACGACAGTGGCAACAAAATGTGGCTCAAACTACTTAAATTGCCGTTTCCCACCCCTTCAGTTTGGAGCAAGCCTGACCGACCCCTGACCAAGGCTCTCCAACCCTTCTTTTGTGGGGTTCATCTTTGTCTCCTCACTCCTGTGGTTGGCTGGTTAAAGTAAAGTGAGCTTTACTCAACCAAAACGAGCATGCCTGGCCCAGAGAGCCTCAGCAGCACAAGTTGTCTAGCAGAAGGGGATGAGGCCACGCACCGGCCCTCAGCGCCTGTGTGACCTTGCCTGACTTTCCAGATGCACCTCAGGGCACTGAGCTAGCAGATGTCAGGCTGTGGCTTAGGTCTCCTCTGCTGGGTCTGCCCGTCACGGTCGGCAGGGGGCGCACTTTCCCTACATCTCACAAATTGCGGCTCCATCAAGGGGTTCAACCACTCCAAAGAAAACGGACAGCCCTCCAGTTCGTTCCTCTCAAACCACAGTTTTGATCACACACTTGAGGAAAAAAAAAAGAGTCTGCAAAGCGTTTCCTGAACTCCAAGGCGAAGTCCCATACCAGGGTTATTTTGTGAACGTTAAGAAGGCAAAATGTACTCATGAATGAAGCATCCGCCTGAGGTGGTAGTGTTTTTGGGACCTGGGTGAAAGAGAAACACCAGACCACACAGGAGAGGCTCTCTGAGGTCACAAACCAAAACCTGGTAAATCATAAAAAAATTGGCAAACTGGAGTTAAGGCAAACAAGCCACCAGCGACTGCTATTATCCCTTTTGTAGTTTTCATTGATATAATGGAGACTAGCTCGGACACTGGGCCAAACCAGGAGTCTCCCTGGAGACCAATGACAGAAAACCGAAACCAAACAGAAAAACCTTGTCTGATGACCCTGATGAGCTTGTTCTGACACTCACAGGTCTCTGGAAACTAGTGGGGGTAATTCAGTATTGTTTAATTATTAGACAACCTCATGTCATATATAAAGTTTTTATTCCTTGGTAAGAAGTTTTAAATCACAAAATAGTGTGGCAATATTTAGATAATAGAATTTACGGAGTGCTGAAAATACTAGAGTATAAAGATAGTTTCTAGCTTATCTTTACATACTAAACTTGTCTAAACCGGCTGGTTTCTTGCAGTCATATTTATTTGTTTAATAATTTAAGACAGCGTAAGCTTGCACCCAAGCATTTTAAGCATTGTAACCAAAGTGCAAACATCTCACCAAGTCCTCCCCCAAAAAGATATTATAACTCAAAATACCATTAGTACGTATCTTCTCCCTACAAAAATAGCATGTCAGACGTCATTAATTGGTGTATTAACAGCTATATACATACAGCCTCCTTGGTAGGCTAAGAGTTTAACGTTGTTTAAACACAGCGTTTGAGGCAAACAGTAGCAACAGCAGCAGCAAACGGACCGAACACACTCACAGAACACACTCACAGACCCAGATAACGTCTTCACTCCAGACTATTGTGTCTCACCCCTTACGTAACATTCAAGTGAGATTTCTCAGTGCTACCTTGGCAACAAACTAAAAATATCTAGACAAGGTCTTGGCTTATGCCTTATATTTTTTAACAAGCTTTCTTCCTGATTATCTGGCATCTGGTTTGGTCTCCAGAAAAATACATACAGACTTGACAGAGCAGGCCTGGCCGGACACCCCTATACATCTCCACAGAACACAGGGGACCACTAGGCCTCCCCGTCACTTCTGTCATCTAGGAATTAGAGGAAAAATCAGTCTGGGTTTCTCTTTTTCCAGCCCAGTGCACTTTGCAAAATTAAAAAACAAAAAACAAAAACAGCAACGTTACAAAATTCTGGGACCATGAAGGGTAAAATAACCCGTGGGGGAGGGGCGTGCATCAGAAACACATATATGACCTATGACATACATATATATATACATATATATGCGCACATGGATGGAGAAATTAAAGTGGGACAAAGGGTTTGAGGTCAATCTGTCAATAAAGTGCGAGCAAAGGCGCCAAGGGCTCCAACCTCCCCCCCCCCCCAGCTCCCACCCTGACACAGTGCCTGAACATAGCCCAACTCCCAGTCTTTCCAAACAAGTGCAAGGCATCAAGACACCTCTCCAACCACCTCACAACAGGGCAAGGGCATCCTCACCTCTCCGGGAAAAACAAGTACTTCTCAAAAAGCCAAACAACACAAAATACTGACGCGTAAATTTAACTCTCAGAGACCCTCAGTTAGTGGAGTGCCTCCTAAAGGGGCGGCAGGGAGACACCAGCCCGGGAGTCGAAGGACCCCCCCAGCGCCAGGCACTCTTAACTGGTTCCCTAGACTCCCAGAACCAGGCTCGGTATCTGGGAAAGGGGAGGGAGTGTCTACTAAATTTATGGAGGGTGATACAACATAACATAACCAGTATTTCTCACAGAGGACCTGTGACAGCGGGGGCCGAGGGGTGGGGTGGGTGTGAGCGGGTGGAGAGGGTGGGGTGGGTGCGAGCAGGTGGGGTGGCAGAAGGGTGAGGAATGGGGCAAAACAGGAACTCCAAACGAACACAAAACACCTGTTTTTGTCCTAAGCCTGTCGAGCATCTTACTCTTCCTCCCTGGCACGCGTTAGGGGGGCCTTTGAACTTGGAAACCTGGCGACTCCTCGGGAGTCCCCCCCCCCGCGCCCCTGTTCAAGAAGGGCTGCCGGGCTCAGGGGGCGTCCTTGGCAGGCTGCGAGGCATCTTCCTGAGAGCGATCCGGGTTCCCAGCGCGCGGCAGGTGGGTGCGGCTATGCGCGTGCTGGGGGCGCAGCGACCCCGGGGGCGCCACCTCGTGCGCCAGGAGGGGGGGCACCGGCGGCCGCGCCTGCTTTCTCGGGAGGCGGCGACAGCACGGACGACAGGCAGGGGAAGGCGGCGGCGGCGGCGGCGGCCGCTGCGGGGATGCCGGGATACAGCAGCGGGAAGGGCGCGGCCGCCGCGGGGTACAGATACTTGTCCAGGCCGCTCTTGTCCAGCCAGGGCTGCACGTAGGCGGCGGCGGCGGACGGCGACAGCAGGTAGAAGGGCAGGCAGAAGGGCGCGGCGGCGGGCTGTGCGAAGGGCGCGCCCCCGCCCAGCGCCACGAGCGAGCCCAGCAGCGCGGGCTCCGGGCCCAGGAGCGCGCCGCGCGCCTCCAGCTTCGGCCTTTTGGGCGCGGGCGACGGGTCCCCGGGCGGCTCTTGCTTAATGGTGGCGCGGCCCTGCTCTGCCTCGCCTCCGTAGCCGCTGTCGGTGTCCGTGTCGTGCTCGGGCTCGGTGCCGGGCTGAGTCCGCTGGATGACCGGCACGCAGCGGGCGGCGCGCTCGGGACCCGGGGCAGCCGCAGCCCCCGTGCCGCAGGGCGCGCGGCCGGGGACCCTGCCCTGGGGCACCTGTGGCGTCAGGAGCTGGGTGGCCACGGCGTGCAGGTGGCTGACAAGCTGTGCGCAGCGCGGCTCCCTGGGCGTCCAGCTCTCAAAGCGCGCGAGGTATTGCAAGACTTCTTTGGCGCAGGTTTGAAACCCCGAGTGGAACGCATCCAAGTCGGCCTGGACCGGCGATTTCAGAGAGCGCTCCCCTAGGGTGCACAGGGGAGGGAGGTGAGAAGGAAAAACCGCGGCATTAAGACATCTGCTCATCACGTGGGCCCTGAGCTGCCTACAGTGAGCTCGGCTTTTCCTGGGCATTCCAGCGATATAATCCGCAGACTGCCGAGAGGAGGGGGTGGCGGGTGATGCGCTCTCCTCCGGGTTGAGAAACCCAAGAAGAGAGGCGCAGGGGTTCCTTCAGCTCTGCAGAAAACCTCTGGGATGATCTGGGTACTTGGCACCAAAGGGAAAGCAGAGGCAGTGTTCACCAGGAGCAGAACGCAGTGGGGAGTTCCAGCTCTGTGCGCCCCAACGCTACCCGTTTTGTTTTGTCTTTTTTTTTTTTTTTTAAATCAGGGCAGGCTTCCTTAGATCCACTTACCATTCTGTAAAGCAATTATCTTCTGATGCTGCTGCTCTGTTAAGGCTGTTAACGCTTTTAAGTGCTTCAAAGTTAACTCCAAAACTACGGCTTTCTCCAAATGCCCCAGTGTCTGCAGTGGTGCAGAAAAGAGGACAGAGGTTGGCCACTTTAAAACACACAGATTTCACTTGTTTAGCTCCCACACAGCCCATCGACTTAGGAAAAAAGAAAACAAAAAACTAAACCACTGGGAAGGAAGGCAGGTCATCAGCGATCTCTTTGCCTTCAGCCCCGAGTCCCTGTTCCTAGTCTCTGGGCAACTCCATTACCGCACAAGTTGGAAGTCAGACCTCTTAATATTTACATTTACGGCCCTATCTCTGGGAGTCGTATCAGGCCAACACACCCTGGAAACCACCGGAGAATGAAAACGCGCATCTTACTGTCAATTTCAGATGTTCAGGCAGCAGATCTTTCAGCTGAGCAATGCATTCATTAATTCGGTCTCTTCTCTTTTTTTCTATTAATCTGTGCGGTAATTTGTAGGTATCCTTCATACAGAAGCCGGGTGGGGGGGGGGAGAGGCATCGGTAAGCTAAACATTCACTTATTCACTTACTGGATAGAACCCTCCCACCCCAACCCCCAAACACACCATGCAAAGAACTAATGCCCAGGAACTCTCCTTTAGACTTCTAAGATGCAATTTAAATTCAGGTGCAGTGTTGAATATCTCCCCCGAGTATCCACCAAGCCACTTAAAATTCAGTCAGGGAAGCTTGGGGCTGGAATGTATTTGCGGGCAGAGTTTCCCTGAGAAATCAATGGCCCTAATTAACGATCCAGGCAGATTATGGCAAACTTAAGACTTACCTTGGTGTCATCTCGCTTCAAGCTCCTTTTGGGTTTACACATATACAAAGCGGAATAATCCAGTCTGCAAAAACAGAAATCAGCATCAGGCCCCCATTCCGGGAGGGGCTCTGCCCTCGCCCGCTCCATATCACTTTGTGCAGGAAAAAAAAAAGCCAAACCGACTTCCGAGACAGATATTCGCAACGGTGCGTACACCTTACCCCATAAAATCCCTATGTTCCAGTAACTGTCTCTCTTGCAAATGAGGGATTCCTTCGTCCATGTTCAGTGGCTGCCCGTTTCCTCCGTTTCGATTTGGAGGGTTCTGTCCTGTGATCTGCGGGACGTTCGCCTGGGGAGATCTTGGGGGGATGAGTGTGTCTCCAGGCTGTCTCGCTCTCCCTCTTCGGTGCAGTGTTGAAAGTGTGAAGAAGCCGTCGGTCGCCCCTCCGCCCCGTGCTCGCTCGCTCACTCGCCCTCTCGCACACCCGCGCGCGCACACCCGCGCGCACACACAACACACACACACACACACGCACTGCGCTGGTAGTTTGCTCTCACTCCGGGCAGTGTTTGGCCACAGGGCACGCGCGTCGCCGGCCAGACCAGCACCCAGCTCACGTGCGGAACGTACCATCCGCGGTCCGGCCCGGAGGGGGGCGGGGAGGAGGGGCCGGGAGGGGGCGGGGACACCTGATCGGGGCCACCGGGAGGAATCTGGCTACCCCGGGCCGCCGAGCGGTTCGTCTTCGCCCAGACGCTGCAGGGCGCGGGGGCGGGGCGGGGCGCGGGGCTCCCCCGGCTCGGCCGGCATCTCGGTGCAGAGCCGTGGACGTGGCCTTTCATTTTCCCACCGATTGCTGTTGGTTTGGGCCACAGAAAGGACGCGAATTCCCGGTGGCTAAACTTCAGCGGGGAAGGAAATTTCCCAGGCTTTGCTCACTGCCCGGGCGTGGAGGGAGGGGAGGGCAGAAAGGCACCCTCCAGGCGCTGGCTTGAGGGCTACCCTGAAAGGGGCGACTTGCAATCCGCCCCCCGGAAGGATTTAAGATCAGCGACCATGTAGTCACTGGCTCTGAATGTCGCATTCCAAGCGGCTGCGGCGACACAGTGCCCCCCCCCGCTACCTAAACTTCCCGCAGCAGCCGGAATTGCGGTGCCACTAATCACGGCGGCAGATGACGTTTGGGGCCCCGGGTGCTCCCGGGGGAGCGCAGAGATGGGGAGGGGGTGGCGCGGGGCGGGTGGCACCTAAGGACTGCTGCGGGAAAGCCACGCAGGCCGGGTCCTGCCCGCCCCAACTTGTGTGACGCCGTGCTGCGCCCCTACCCCCCCGCCCGCCGCGTGCGATAAGCCACGCCGAGAGTGTGGCGAGCCCACGTTTACTACGGACACCTCCGCGGCCTCCCTCCTTAATCCCGTCTCCAGCGGGTACCAGCACAGGGCCGGCAACGTGATGCGACCTGAGGCGGCGGCGGCTGCCACATCAGCGCGCAAGGATGCCGTGCGCGCGCCCCGCGGCCTCTGAGGACAGGCGTCCCCAGGTGCCGGTGTCTCACACCCCCCCCCTCGCAACTTGGGATCAACACGAATCTGAATCCCGCCCCTGTGGAGGTGGAGACCCCGGGGGTCGCTCCTGCACTGGACGTCATGACAGTCACGTTCCCTGTGGGGTGGGCGCATTCGAGATCGCCAGCGGCACGTGAGTGCAGAAGGGACCTGGGCCCCAAATGCACGCGCACTGGAGCGCAGCAGGGCCCGGGCAGCCGCGCTTGGGTTCCGGGGACGGATCTGGGTCGCCGGCCACGGCGGCTGGGGCGGGTCACGTGCCGCCGGATCCTCCTCCTCCTCCTCCTCCTCCTTCTCCTCCCAGCCTGGCGCGCGGGTGCAGAGCCCGAGTCCTGGGCGGAGCCGCAGGGATGAGTTCCTCTCCAGCACCCTCCCGGGTTCCTCGAGGAGGACGACGCTGCGCGTTTTTACAGCGGGCGATTAAAGATAACAGTGAAAGTGCCTTTTAGATTGCGGATTTTTACCTTGCGCGCCCCGACCCTGCCCTCTCTCGTCTGTAAGTGGTTTATCGTTCTGATTCCGAGGCGAGTTAAAGCCCCAGACAGCGTTTTCGTTCGTGCAGCATAGAACCATTGCTTCCTTCTAGTTCTTAACCGGCCAGGTTAGCTGGGGGCGCGGGAGATGGAGGTGAATAATTAAAAAAAACTAGAAGTAACCGCCCCCGGTACAGATTTCTGAAAGTTCGCGGTACTCAACAAACATGTTCCACAGCCAAGCCCTCCTTTAAAATAATGCCTAGGGCGTTAGGGGAATGAATAAGCTGGGGTCCCTGCATCTAGGCCTGGCCAGTAGAGCAGAGCAGTCACGAGGCCAATGGCTGGACAAGGAACTCTAGGACTAAGTCACCCAGCACTGAGCTGAAGCAGGAGCCTTGAGGACCACGGAGTTTTCATGCTCTCCATCCCTGAAAAGACTCTGGGCTGTACCCCTCAGCCTTCTCCAGTTTCCCTCTCTAGCTTCCAAAGTTTAATTCTAAGTCAGCAGCTCTGTAATCCACCCCCTACCCTGCTTCTGACGCAGCAGGATGTAAACGGGCTTTTTGCCCGGTTTATTTTGAGATTTTAGTGAGTGCTTTATTCTCTTGGGACAGGGTCTCCCTGTGTAACCTTGGCAGGGCTGGAGCTCCCTGTATAGACCAAGCTGGCCTGGAACTTGAAACTCAGAGATGGGTGGGTTGCCTCTGCTTCCAGAATGATGGAATCACGCCTGTCTTGTGCTCACCCTCGCGTCCCCCGTTTAAACACCTTTGTTACCCTTGGATCTTTCTCGTAATTATTTTCTCTTGTCCTTGGTGCTCACCGTTTTGCTTTGCCTTTGTCTTTTCTTTTCCTAGTCCCCTCTCCCTGTTCTCCCCGCCACGTGCTACCTTTTCCCGGTGTTTTCTCTTTGCCTTCTTCCATACACACATACATTTGGTTTTTCCAGACAGGGTTTCTCTGTGTAACAGCCATGGCTGTCTTGGAACTCACTCTGTAGACCAGGCTGGCCTCGATCTCACAGAGATCCGCCTGCCTCTGCCTCCCGCCGCCACCACCACCCAGGCTCCTTTAATCGTTCTTATATTTCCTGGGTTCCCCCATCTTAAACTCGAGTCTGTTGCCACTTCTGTCTCAGACTCTTGCCTGTGGGGGCCGGTCATCCTCGGATGCCACCAGATGTCCACAAGGGCATTATAGCAGTGTCTAACAGCCGCACGGCATTTAGGTTGAGAGTCGCGGGCTCCGTCCATAGGGCTTCTCAAGTGTGAATCTATTAACGCTTGCCGTGGCCTATCAGGTGTGTTGACACTGTTATTGGGGCCTCTGCAGATGCGGAAGATACATCCTTAGTGGAGGTTGAGATGCGTCACAGGTCCCTCAGACAGACTGTCAGCCGGTGTCTGGCTGCTCACTCCTTCATGTGAGGTCTAAGTGCACAGTAGCGGCCCCACAGGTTCGTGAGAGTGAGGGTTGGGCGTGCAAGAGAGATGGGTGGGTGGGAGGGGAGGAGAGAAGAGAGTGTGGGACCTCAGGGTTGGAGAGGTGGCTCAGCTGTTGGACAGCGCTGGCTGCTTTCTTGGAGGACTGGGGCTCAACACTCAGCACCCTCATGGAAGCTTATAAACACGTGCAACCCCCAGTTCCAAGGAGTCCAGCACCCAATCCTGTCTGCCTCAGGCACCAGGCATGCAGGTCCATGCGTAGGCATGCAAGCAGGTGCAACATTTACACACTTAAACGAATGTAAACGAGTCTTACTATTTACTTATTTAAGCGCAGGAGCTGTGACTGGGGGGGGGCAGTCTTTGGAGATGTGGATGAGATGTGCAGCAGGCTCGCAGCCCTGCGCTGATCTAGCGCTTGTAACGTCACGCGGGTGCACCAAAGTTAGTGCAACTGTGGAAGGTGACGGTGCTCAAAGTCGCCATCTTTACAGAGCAAACCAAGCCAAGGCCGACGTGAAGACTCTGGGTTAGGACTGGTTAGGACTGGAAAAGGCTGTTCCTGATCAGACAAGGAGCAGAAGAACCCTGACTGTCCTCTTCCGGTATGTTTACAAACGGACGGAGTCTTGCCTGAAACCATCCGAAGCCAGCAAAACACAAAATGAGCTCAGATCCCTTTCCTGTTCATAGTCCAACCGTTAGTGAGCGTCCTACCTGCAATTAAGGATGACTGGCTTCGCCCTCTCTCCCATAGACAGGTGGGTGGAGTCACTGTTACCTTTGCTGCCTCTCTGGGTACCACTGCAGCCTCTGCCTCCTTCTCCTCAGTGCCTGGTCTGTACGTGGTACCTTTAGCATCTCTCTCTCTCTCTCTCTCTCTCTCTCTCTCTCTCTCTCTCTCTCTCTCCCCGTGTGTGTGTCTGTGTCTCTCTGTGTGTATCTCTCTCCCTCTGTGTGTGTCTCTGTCTGTCTGTCTGTCTCTGTGTAGTACAGGGGTCCGTGGTCCACACCCAGGTTCCCTCCACTGCACCCCACCTCATTTGACTGAGGTCGCTCATCCAGTGTGGGGCTTACTGTCCCAGCGGGGCTCACTGGCCATTGAGCGCTGCCCTCCTAGTTCTGGAGCTGCAGGCGTGTGTCCGCATGCCTCCTGGGCAATCAGACTCTAAATTCAGGTCCTGCGCCCATGGAGCAGACACTTGACCCACCGAGCCATCCCTCTGGCCCTGTGCCTTTTTATTTTAACCCAGGCAGAGCCGCTCCCTGTAGAGACTGTGGTAAAACGAGGCATCTAGTCCCATGTCCCAACTATCCTAAGCCCTAAACTCCAAGCACCCACTGTGTGGCTTTAGGAGGTTCTAGGTGTCTTGCTTCCTGCAGAAACTGGGCTCTATCTAGAGGGTCATGTTTCTGCTTGGAACAGGTTCCTGCCTTGTCAAGATTCTCCAGCCCTCACTGCTCTTCAGGAGAGGTGGCATATGGCTATTTCTGGATCCGAGATCTGAGGCGAATCAAGTGACTATCTCTGCTGGCCTAAAGAACTGAGGCCTGGCCAGGGTGTGCCCCCCCCACCTGCGAGCTACGAGGGAAGCCCTTTGGGTGAGCACATGCCTTTCCTCTGAGATCCTGGGGAGGGAAGAGAGGGCCTGATGCGCTCCACTCTGCCACAGTGTCCCAGCCCTGGTTGCATTTTTTACTAAACATGTTTTGGTGATTTACCAAGTGTAGGTTACCACTGTTCCACACAACGCCATGCTGAAAGAAAGTAGCTTAGGAAGCAAGAGTCCTCAGAAAAGTTAAAAATGTTTTCCACTGGTACACACGTTGAAGCCTTGGCATTGGGGGCACGTGTCTAGGGGGCTTCCTTCGCACTGGCAGGAGAAAGGTTAATGCTTACAGGCCTACTGCAGACAGGGAGGTGCCTGGAAGGCTCTGAAAAGGGAGGGGGATGCCCACTGCTCCTCTCAGAGTCCAAATATGGCTTTAAAATATTGATGATGCTATTTGCTGAAGGTACCAGATTTCAGGTCCCAGAATAGAAGGCTGGGTTGCCCAGCTGCTTGCTCAGCACATTGGTCCAACAGCACACGCCCCCTTTTAATTTGTAAGGACCCGGTCTCTCCGCAGACTGCCAGTGGATGTCTCTGTGGCTATGAG